TTCCTTCTCTCTCTCTCCATGGATCGTGGGAGGTTTCCCTAATTAGCTTCATGCAGCGTATTTCTTTTCGCCATGCCTCGATGCTAGTTCTGCTGCACCCCTTGCAGCTAGCCATTCGCTATCCCCTCGCTCATTAACGCTCAACATGCTGCTCACGTCCATTTCTAGCTCGTCCCAAAGCGCATCCTCGACTCTGTTCTTGAATTCGGCATCTGCGCCGTGACTGCCCAGGAGAACGATTCTGCCTGGCGCCTTGCCCTGCGGGCTCAGAACAAACGCGATGCTTTGTTGTACCTGGGCCCAGAATTTTGCTCGTGGCGCGTCGTACATGGGGAGATGCCACCAGCCGAGATCAGAGCGTATGATGCGGCTGATTATGTGTCCTTGTGATGCGTAGTCTCTGCAGGCGTATTCGTGCATGCTTGCGCTGAAAGCGCCGTCGTCGAAGGCGAGGAAGAGAACGTGTTGCAAGTGTTCTGATTTCGATTGTGTGGTGCACGAAGATGCAGGTTTGAGAGCGGCATGGGTAGCCATTGCTTCTTCGTAGAGTACGGCGCTGTCCTCGGACGAAGCAAGTCCTGCAGATACCATGGCTTTCTGGAATTTTCGTTGGAGTCTGGGAGCCTGGGGGGACAGGGCCAATGCGGCTTGTTGTACAGAATCATCCAGTTCCGTCTCAATGGCTCGGTGAAGTCGGATCATGAAACCGGACAAGACCATTTCATCGCTGGGTTCTAGTGGTCCAGAGTAGCCAGAGCTAGAGGACATCCACCGCCGCATCAAATCTTGATAATCGGCGCCTCCTTCCATCCTCACGAGGTCCCTAATTGTTCCGTTTTGGTAATGAGCGGCAGCCACGGCATGTGATGTTGTAAAGTGGAGGCCAATACTTGGCGAAGCGTGTGTGGTTTTATCCTCGACGCTGGTTGTGTCGTCTGCGGCGTTGTCGACAATGGGTACTTGCTGTGCCGGTCGGATAACCCGTGCACTAGCCAAAGGCACGAGAAACAGCAGAGTGGACAGCTTCATGTTGAAGTGGGGAAATATTAGTAAATAAAGGCGGGGTTGACAAAAGACAAAAAGGGCGCAAGAGAGGGAGTGTCAAAAGGCCAAAAGAAGGTCAAGCAAGTGCGAGAGAGCGAACAATGGTGGGTGAAGGCACGGTGAATGGTGGTGGTGGCAGCCGTAAGGACAAAAGAGTGGAAGGTGGAACGGCAAAACGGCGACAGCAAGAGCGGTCGGTCGGGGTCGCGTGGGCGTATGGGCCCATCTTATAGTAGTAGCTTCAGGGCGACGAGGGCGTTGCAGACAAGCATCCGATGGTACCGTGTGGCTTGCCAGAGCTTGCCAGATTCCGATAGCGCCTGCGTCCGCTGGTTCCATGGGCGTCAAAGGCCCGTGGTCCCGTCGAGTATTGGGAAGGTTGGCGCTAGGCCGCGCAGGGCACCGAGGCATAGCTAGAGTGCCTTGGTTTCTGTTTGATGAGCATTGATGACCACGGCCAAGGTCTGAGGTTGTTCACATGCCTGCCCGACGGCTCCTCACCCGCATCTCGACCTTGGCGAGGCGCTTCGCTGTCTCGTGGGGCCCGCCTGGCTGGGGCGCTGTGTGCGACGTTGAGACGTCCATGTCGAAGGGAGTGGTGTCGGCGAGGGTGAGGGGAAGTACCAAGCTTTGGCCGGTGCCGGGTCTGCCGTGATGCTATTTATAAAGAGCCTTGGCATAGTCAGCGCCTGCCAGACTTGCGGCACCGCGTATCGTACAAGATTTAATTCTCGCCGAGTCGCTGTCGTCTGGCCCAGGGCACTGGTTTCTGTTTGATGCGCCACTGTCTCTTTGCTTACATATTTCCGATTGGGGTTGGCTGGCATCGCGCGTAAGTATGATGACTGCATTGCTCCGCCTGGCCCCGCTCTTTCAGGTACCGGTCGCTCGACATTCTGGGCCCTTATTGCCGGGTCATTTTCACGCGCATTGACTGCTGCGTACACACTTACTCCCCCATCCAGCTAGGGTGTCGTCTGTGGACTCTGGCTGCGCCACTTTCAATAGAGTACTCGGGGTCGACGAAGAATCCAACCTTAGCGACTCAGTCGCGCGTTCACGTGTCTACACTACCTTACAAGCACACCAAATGATGCCATGGATGAAGACAGAGCTTCGAGAGCCCCACGAGTCAACTACAATCACTACTCTCAACCCTAATCCGATGGGATACTGACAATACTCCGCCATCACCCAACCCTGCGGTAGCTTTGGTCGACATCCTTACACTTGTCACGCACAAAGAATGCTCCGCAGCCACGGACCAAAACGACATAGCGCAGCACATCCATCGTATCCCTGAAAGCACGTCCGTGCCCCAGCCCTCTACGTACGGACCACACGACTTTGTGATATTCGAACCCCTCTTATGCAGATCTTCCGCACTAACAACAGGATGCCTGGAGCAGGCACCATTGTGTGGTAACAGGCAGGCTTCCCCAGTTCAACGGGTCCAGCCCTGGAATCATCCAGGCCCATCTTCCATGACTCCTCTCTCGTGATGGTGGTTCGTGTACATTTCCACTTCATCAACCCCCTTTTCGTATTCCATCCATCAGCAAAGGTCATACGGGCATGTCAACCCGTGCGGGGTTCAATATACGGCTATTTCCAAAGCTATGTCCTTGCGGTACCCATTTACCGAACGTCAATTTACGGCTCCACAGGGCGCAATGACAAGCCTTTTTGAGGTGCGGCCGTGCTCGCTACACTTGCTTCGGATTCATGTAACAACCTTTTGTCCGATACCCTTCCTGTCAACTGAACAAGTCGCTTTAAACTTCGTTAATATGTATGCAGTCATCCGTCTCAAGTCAGGACGGCTCGATCTTACGCTAGAACACTAAGAAGAATTCCTGTTCTACTCCGTTCCTTCTCTTGGGGTTTCGGGTCATTTTCATCAGCACTAACAAATGTTCCTAGCATGCTGACCAGAAATGGCGGCTTTGCAACAACAAAACCTCTTGGGCTGTGCAGTAATCCGGGTGCTTTCATCGCATCTTCGCATTACACTGCTAATCAGGCAAAAAGGCTGAAGATGGTGTTTCAAACTGATTTCCAGTATTAAACCTACCTACAGACGGTTTACAAAACACCCCCTTGCGTATCCATGTCAGTTTCGGATTGACAATACTTACCTGGCAACATCAGATTACAATTGAGGCAGAACTTGGCTGGGAACAGATGGGAGCCGGCAGATTATCCAAAGCAAAAGTCGCGCCTCAAATTCTAGTTATGGAAACCTATACTATCCACGCCGCGTAACAAGGACGAAGGAGTGAATGAAGATCGATCTGCACGTGTCAACTAGATGCGTCCGACCTAAACACAAAAATCTTTCGAGCCAGATTTCTTACAATTCTAATGCAAACGCACATTGGTCATTGGTTGGGAACATGTTGTTAACAGGCAAGGGTCCGGCCTACACTTTTACCCAAGCTCCACCACGAACTTAACCTGTTCTCACAAAACAACACCTAGCCACGGCACAATCTTCCCAATGATGCACCTCTACACAAAATCAATAAGCTTACAACAAACTTTTTTCCTGCAAAAGAACGGAGTGATTGCGCCGGGCCTGATACAGCATGTTTTGCGACCAACCTTTATCAAGGACTAATGTGCTGATACCTTTAAAAAATCGTCATGACGATGTTACTCACGTTCCGTATCATTTTAGCCGGGCCAAATAAGTCTCTTATGCATAGAAACTAATGAAGAGGAGTTTTCTACCTCTCTTTATTCCTTGGCCTTCTCTAGCCCAAGCCATTACTTTGCAATCCGACGTTTCTGGCCGAGACGAATGAACATACAAACACTCGTATCATCATCGATGTATATACGACAAGAAGATCTGTTTATGCAACTGACTCGCTTATGTGTATGAGGATCAGCTGAAAGTATACTGGTGTGTCATGGTAGTACTCTAGCTCTCCAGGCTTGGCTGCTGAAAGGGACTTAATGCAACAGGTAGTAACTTTGGAGCATCATTACCAATCTAATTGCCAGACACGGCTAGAACACAGTCAGCTGACCAGGCTGAACTCGAAATGTTTCCGCAGATTACCCCTGGGGAAACGGGAAATGAATATAGAGTTTCTGATTCAGTGAGCGATGATTCTCATCGCTCGACTACAAACTCAATCGCATCGACACCAGTAGAGCTGAGAAATTAGAGAGAAATACTATGATAATATGACTTGAATCGTTTATTTAAACTACCTTCCTCGCTGTCAAAGCATTAGTAGAGATTCATGCTTCCCAAGATGCAAAATACCTATCGAATCCCCAAATACTCCTACAAAATCGTACTACAAGTATCCAGGCTTACCAGGCACAATCCCAAAACACGACCCACCCCTCCCGAGTATCTTTTGTAAATCCTCAGCAATCGCATCTGGCCTCTCGTGCGCCGCAAAATGACCACCTTTTGTCATGAACGCTCTCGTACACTGTGGGTCCTAGAGAACGGCAGGAGAGCAAAAAAAAGGAATACTAGTATCAATTCCCTGAGAAGCGATGAATTTAACCAAAAAAATCATACTTAGAGTCTTTGCACACAACCTAGCCACACCCCTAAGCTCCCTCAGGAAAAATGCACAACCCCCTAACCCACCCCACTCGCCCTCCTCTCCCTTTCCAGCACCTCGGCCATCAGATGATGCCCCCGCGCCTCATAATAAATCCGCACATAGGCATTCAGCCCCGCACTTAACTGTACCAAATAAACCAACCAACCCCACATCACATCACACTTCATCCTCACCTCCACACAATAGCCCCCCCCCCCCCCCATGCATCCACTTCCCACACGGCTTTTCTCGTAGAGATGCACGTGAGCACTAGCAACAGTTCTATCTACAAAAAAAGAAAAGCGCGCGTGAGAGAAAGAGGGGGGGGGGGGATGGAGTCGAGTAAAGGGAGGAGGTTTTTGTGACTTTGAGGAAAGACCCAAACTAGCTGTGGCAGAAGAGGAGGGGTATGGTGTTTGTATTGGTACTTTTCTTGTGGAGAAAATGTATGTCTATATCTCTGAAGCCTTTAGCTTGGACTTTCCTTCGGTAGTTGGGTAGTTTATTCATCTGGGCTTCTGCTTTGCGCCAGTCAAATGCTGTTTCCCAGTGCTTTGCTAGATGTTTTATGTCGGATAGTGGTGACCCGTATGGCTATTGGTCCGGCATATCAAGCTCATCTAGAAAGTTGGCATCTGATAATTTTCTTTTCAATTTTTCCATGGTCGCATCGAAGACGGATATGGTGCATGGTTCAGGATCTGATTCCATCATGGACGAAGGCTATACTGTTGGAGTCGTTTCTTTGGAAGACGAGCCGTTATTCACATATACGATAGTGAAGCAACGATGTATTTGTTAATCGGATTCAAAAGCTGAACGAAGCTATCTTTCAACGATAATCCAACTCGTTATCGTCTGAAAGATGACAGCACTCCGTCACTGAGATTGGCAGTGAGAAGATGACGGACGGCAGGTATCGACTTATTGATTTCGCCAAGGGATCCATGAATGGCCAGGCACAACCTTATACTCCAACAAGATGCTTTCTTCGGTAATATCTCCTTTTGGGAATTCTGTAAAACTTGTATTCATACAGTATTCAATATTGTAGTGCTGATAATCCAATGATGTGTAGTCAGTTTCGGTATAAGCCATGAAGCCGTATGACGTAGCGCGGCCTGTCTTGGAGCTCGTAGATGAGAAGGCTGTACAAAATATCTTCACATCACGATGCAGCAGAACTCGATGGAAGTTTGTGATGTTGAAATGATGTGAACTCTAATTTCGTATACTGGTTTAAGCGATGAACATACACGCCTCGTTTGAGACCGGATTCCACGGCGGCGATCGACTAGACCGAATGTGGTACAGCTGATCGCCGCTGTGGATTCTCTTACCATTCCTCCACCGCCAAAACCAGGATGGACCCGCCAAAATGAATTCAGGGATCCTCGACGGTAACCTGCTATGCTAAATAGAGTACAGTCTCGCCCTAGAATCATCCCGACAGCCCGTAAACAGCTAAGAAGAGGGGTGCAGCTTTAGCTACATATCGGCACAGCTGCCCGCTGTTAGCTGAAGCAAGAGAGATTCTAGCGTTCGTCGCATGACATTTCTCCAGCCAAAGAAGTACATTTCCAACACCGCGTTAAAGATTGGACGGATGGTAGTATGTACTCTTTGAAGCCAATGAGATTGACTGCCGTCGTGCATGAGAAGCCGTCAGAAGCAATTTTAATATGCAGCTAGAGCTGCAACAACTCAGCTTCGTGGCACATGTAAAGATGAGCTGGCGTACCCTTCTGTAGTACAATGTAGGCGAGATAAAGGACCATGGTACATGAAGAATAGGCGACACCGCACATCGATTTTCGGTGCTCGGAATGAGTCGGAATAGCTCGGAATGCCCCAACTTGCGGTTGTGAGACGCGCGCCAATCATGAGTTACGGACCACGACCTGCTATCATGGCATGACTGCCTGCTTCGTTCTCGAACCACTTTTCCGATATAACAAAGGCGAATTGCCTCTTGCATTCCATCGATATCACGTCGCCTGTTAAAGAGCGAAACTGTCTTATCCGTGATCAGCCCCAATGGCATCCACGGTCGATACTGCGAGGAGCGGACATGCGATCGCAAGCGAAGCACTCGAAGCCGCAAAACAACGGTTTGCAAAGAGAAACCCAACAAGCCTCAAGTTGCACGAAGAAGCAAGCAAAAAGCTACCAGGTGGCAACACACGAAGTGTACTCCACACGGCACCATTTCCAATCTTTCTCAAGAACGGCAAAGGGTATCAGGTCACTTCGGAAGACGGACATACCTATACGGACCTTGTCGGCGAATTCACGGCCGGGTTGTACGGACACTCGCATCCGGTCATCCAATCAGCACTGATTAATACCATCAATACTGTCGGACTCAATCTAGGAGGTACAACTACGCTGGAAACAAGACATGCTGCGTTGATATGTGAGCGGTACAAGCTGGACCTTATCCGTTTTACAAATTCCGGTACGGAGGCGAACTTGCATGCCATTCAGGGCGCACGGCGCTTTACAGGAAAGAAAAAGGTTGTGGTGTTCTCCGGCGGATACCACGGCGGGTGCTATCTCTTCCCCGATAATCGTCCCGCAGAGAACTGTGTCGATAAGGACGATTGGATCGTTGCAGAGTTCAATGACATCGAGGACGCGAAGAGGAAGATTGAGGAGTCTGAAGATGTTGCCGCGGTATTGGTCGAGGGTATGCAAGGTCGAGGGCCATGTCTTGTCGGCACTCATGATTTCCTGCAGCAGGTCCAATCGTCGGCAAAGAAAGCGGGTGCCGTGTTCATTCTGGATGAGGTGCAAACAAGCCGTCTGGCACCGGGGGGACTGCAGGAGCTTGAAAGCTTGACGCCTGACATTACCACTTTAGGTAAATTCCTGGGTGGCGGGATCACGTTCGGCGCCTTTGGAGGACGAGCAGACGTCATGCGGGTTTATGATCCGCGAGAGAAGAATTCGCTAGGACACTCGGGTACATTCAACAATAACACACTCGGCATGACTGCAGGGTATACTGGTTTGGCGCAAGTGTACACTGCTGAAGTGAGTCGTGAGTTTAACGTCATGGGCGATCGATTACGCCAGCGTCTCCAAAGCCTTTCACATGGTACGAAAATGACCGTCACCGGGCTAGGAACGATCCTGGGCATTCACTTCTTACACGACGGTAAAAAGGAATTGAAAAACTACCAGGATCGCCTCGAGGACTGTGACTTGAGCACGCTGTTTTGGATTGAGATGATGGAAGACGGCTTCTGGATCTCGCAGCGGGGGAGTCTTGCAGTGATATTGGGAACACCTTGGGAAGAGCTTGAAAAGTTTGTTAACAGTGTTGAGAAATTTCTGCAGAGACACGCAAGTCTATTGGAGGTACGGATGGTCGGGGGAGAGAGTAGGCTGTAATCAGACACGTACGTGTATCTATCCAAGGTATTAGTGAAGCAGATATACGCAAGTGTGCGGCGGGATGCTATGTTCTGGATGGTTGATCATACGATGGCAATGCATGCTACAGGGCGCTTGCGAACAAGACCAATAACATACACTGATAGTAGATCTGACCGCTACTCTGAGAGTTTGATGGCGCAGGATATGGTGACTGCCGCTGCAACATTGAATCTTGGACTGTTGCTGAGTATCTGCAATCTTGTTTCCTATGCACAGCCCGTCTCATGCTTGGCTTCTCTAGCATCTTGATTGACACAGAACCAATGCTTGTCTCAACACCAAGACACTGTACGCGAAGAGATCGAAATACAGACGTTGCGATTGGAGAAGCCAGGCGTCAAGCTTTCAGCACGTACAAGTCATTGCCGGGTGCCACGGCCATAAGCTGAGCTCAGCACAGCGGACCAACGTCTACGTCTTCCCCCACATGTATTGTGGGGTCGGGGCTCCGGGAGCCAGACCTGGAATGCTGCTGGTGGCGAGTAAGGAAGAGACGGCATGCCATGGCCAAAAGGTGGAGAAGGCAAAGTCAATGAAGCCGAGCAGCGGTGGCTGTTTCGAGGCTGCGTCACGGGGCACAGTCATGGGCACCAATCGCAATTCACAGTCCGCGACTGCTTGCCAAGGCGCTAGCCGGACCTGGAAAAGTACGTACACAGCAAGTCGTGTGCTCACATTGCGGTCTCGACTGGCCACACGACAAAAAAACGCTCAGCTTGTTGAAATCAGCTGCTTGTGGTGCCATGGATTCCCGAGCAATTGGTTTGCCCTGTAAGCCACACGCACGCAAAATGCCTCCCATCCCTGGTACGCGTTGAGCCGGGGCCTGCGTAAGCCTTTATTGTCCTAAAGCAGTACCTCTAGTTGGTAGTAGAGACTAGCAATCAGGGTCCAGCTGACGGGGCATGGCGCTCCGAGGGGAGGGGGTACTTGGAAAATGCCATGGAGTGTTACGTTGGCGTGTAAACCCTTTTCGAAATCTGAATTCAACGTTGTATCAATTCAACGTCATTTTGAGCATTCCCGCAAGACACACCGCCCACCCCTGTAAACTTAACGCTAACTGTGTCTGTGGTACCGCAGAGTAGCACCTGCATGCTTGGGGGGGAGACGGCGACTAAACGTGAAAAAAGGAAGCTTAAATAAAGCTGTGGTTGTTCCCCCAGACGCCAATTGCTTTTCTTTTCCTTTCTTTCCCATCCGCCAGAAGAAAGGGCTCTCTCTCTCAACCGGCAAACATGCAGGACCTTGCTCCAGATCTGAATGCATCCTTTTCGAGCATTGTACCACAGCCAGCTGCTATGCTCACCGAAACATACATGCACGGTCTCGCCGTCACCCTCGGCCTTCTCCTCTTCCCCGTCATCACCGCCTTCTACGTCCACAAGGACTACTGTGCCTTCCTATCCCTCGGCCCTGGCGGCACTCCCGCAACACCCCTAGGCTACCTCAAAATCAAGCTCCTCTCGCTCATCTGCCTGCGGGATCCGCGGCGTCCCATTCCCATTCCACCACACTACCGGCCGCAGAGAGGCTACTTTATCGAAGACGCACTGCCGCACCGCACCGGCCATAAGCCAGAGATCCGCGGCATAGCTCCGCAGCGCCAGCAAACGCAGATTAGCACAAAGGAAATCTACGCAAAGCTTGTACTCAAGATCAAGGAGCTCGCGAGCGATCCCTGCAACAGGCTCACGGAGCGAACCAGTTGCTTCGAGAAGCACAGCACCGGCCTCTTCACCAGCATCCCCATTACCAGGACCTGTGGAGGCGAGATATGCCATGCACACCCGAGCGACGGTTCCATGCACCTGACGCTGCACCCGGCTGACGCGAATCTCATCATGGCTCACGGGTGGGGCGAGCGCCATCCGTTGGCGCGGGGTGGGTGGTGCAGAAAGTTTGTCCCTCGCGAGTTCATGCTCGTCTACGCGCCCAGAGACGACGAGGAGGTCGAGATTGTAACCAAGATTGTTGCAGCCAGTATCTGGTGGGTCAGCGGTATCAATGTCAGTGGGGACGCCGAAGGTCCGAGAAGGAAGAGCGCAGACGTGGCGGCTATCGGTAGGGAGATGCAGGGAGACCAGTGCTGGACTTGTAGGATGAACACGTGTGGGGGTAACAAGGTTGAGCAAATGGCGAGCGATGCTTGAGGGAGCGTGGAAGGCTGCTTCCGAGGGCTTGCGCAGGGACAGATTGATTGAATTGGTACGGGATTTTTTGGCGCGTTTAAGCATGGCGTCTGGGATTTATTGATTATCGGGATATGCAGTGTACGACACATGGGCGGGACTTGTTATTCAGAATGCTCGAGCGTGTTTGTTGGTCTTTTCATTCTTATTTTGTAAATCTGTCTCATTGATGAACCGGGCTTTTGTATCGGGATACGTTGCTGGCCTTGCAGACACACGTCGTCCACAGTATATTCTTGTAGTCATACCCTACTTTCCACCTTGCCTCATCCATGTCTCGAATTCCTTCCTCTTTCCTTTTACATCCCAGAATCCCCTCCTGCCTTCGCTGTTCCCACCAATGCCTGCATCCAGACCGAGAAAGGCATACGGGTCGCCCTCGCTCAAAACCTCCTCACCCTCCCTCGTGTAGCGACCCTCGCTTTGCTGCCCTTGTCGTGACATCTGACCCGCCCATTGTGCGTAGTGTATTGGCTTCAGCGGCGCAAAGGAAATGACGATGCCGAGGGAGAGGAGTAGGATGGAGGTGAGGAGCTCAATCGAGATGTCGAGGGGTAAGGGCGTGTTTGTGAATGTTGCTGTATGTTCGTGGGTCGAGTAGACACTTGGCAGCGTCAGTGCATGTGAGCGAATAGATCCGAATAATTATATATATATGTCTCTGGTTTTGTAGATGGGCGGGTAAGCTGTGTGCGACTTACGCATGTGTAAGCAAGAGCACGCCGATGCCATTCAGCGCTGTCCCTAAGATGGCCATTGCAAAGCTCCGTGGGGTTGCCTGACGCCTGTTGAGATCGAGAATGAGCGTAAGAGATGGACCGAAGCGGGTGTGTAGTTTTGATGGCCGAGACGCTGCTGTTTGTACTGTGCAGGTAGAGATGGGGGCTGCGGGGTGGTGGAGGTTGGTTTCGGTGATGTTGACAGGATGAGCTTCAGTTTTCCTCGGCGGACCCTGGCGGCCTACTAGGTGATAGTACACAACCTTACTATGGCATGCACATGCTTTACTCTTTCCAGCCACCAATACCCCCCAACAACAAAATTATGTGTATAAGCTGTAAGATGCAAGATTTGGTAATGCCTCAATCATCCTACCATATCTTCTTGTCAGGCTACGCGCCCGACTGTATCTGCATACCTACGTCACATCAGGTAGCCGCGCAAAAATGGCACCAGTTAACAGTAGTAATTACTGGATTCAACATGGCAGTCATAGTAATCGCGCAGAAAAACTCCACAAGTGGTTGTGGCTGAGCTCGGAGATGTGTGCGGTGATGCGATCTCCGACAACATGTCCGCATCGATCTCCGCATGGCAAAGCACAGCGACTTTTTGAGGTAACAACCAAGGTATAATAAAGCAGCCAAATAATTCATATTCCTATAATTTCCAAAAGCCTCATCACTTGATCTTTTCAAACAATTATCAGTCCACATTCATCACCCTATCAATACCATCTCAGTCATCTCAAGCATGGCCAACCTACCAGCATCTAATTCTACAAAGTCCCTCGACATTCTGATAGTAGGTGCCGGAGTAGCTGGTCCAGTTCTGGCTCTCCTTCTGCAACGCTCCAACCCCGACCACAACATCACAGTCATAGAACGTTGGCCCAGTCTCCGCACCGGCGGCCAGCAACTCGACCTCACAGCCCAATGCATCCCCATCATGCGTCGCCTAGGACTCCTCGAAGAACTCCGCCAATACTGCGTCAACGAAACAGGAATGGAGCTCATCGACCTCCACGGCAAAAGTCTCATGAAATTCGGCGTCACAAAAGCCGGCGACAAAGGCGGCACCTTCGAACTTACCAACGAATTCGAATTCATGCGCGGCGACTTTGTAAAAATGATGTACACAGCCAGTCTCGCAGACCGACAAACTCTAACCACCAAAGGCCATACAAGCGGTAGCCTAACCTACCTCTTCAACACAACCCTCACTGCCATATCCCAAGACAACACCACCCCAGATCTAGCAACCGCCACCTTCTCCACCAGCGAAACGAGATCCTACAACCTTATCGTCGCAGCCGACGGCCAAAACTCACGCACCCGCCGCCTCGTCTTCGGCGAAGCAGTCAACACCTCCGCCTACACCTCCCTAAACACCCACGCCGCCTTCTTCCCCATCCCACGATCACCCAACGAAACCAGTCTCGCTCGCATGTACTCTAGCCCCGAAAACCGGCTCACCATGACACGTTCCGGCGACCGCCCAGAAACGCAAGTGTACCTTATCCAAATGGCAAATGCACACCGCACGCCTGTCTTGAAAGCAGCGCAAAAGTTGCCAGTGAAGGAGCAAAAGAAGGTGTGGGCGGAGCTGTATCGCGATGCGGGATGGGAGTGTGAGCGTTTTGTGCGTGAGTTGGATGGTGCAGAGGACTTTTATGCTACGGAGATTGTGCAGGTGAAGATGCCGGGGAGGCAGTTGTATTCGGGTCGAGTGGTGTTGCTCGGTGATGCTGGGTACTGTCCCTCGCCCTTTACGGGAATGGGGACTACACTCGCGCTAATTGGCGCGTATGTGCTTGTGGGTGAGTTGGGAAAGCATGCGGGCGATGTGGGTGCGGCGCTTAGGGCGTATGAGGAGGAGATGAAGGAGCCGGTTGAGGAGAATCAGAAGTTGGGGGCTTTGGCTAATGGGGGGAAGGGCATGTTTCCTCGGTCTGCGTGGGGGATTTGGGCTGTGAATACTGTGCTGTGGACTATGGCTGTGTTGAGGGTGGATAAGGTACTAGGGATGCTGGCGGGTTTGGTGCCAGAGGGGAAGGGCAGTGTGTGGAAGGTGCCGGAGTATCCTGGTATGAATATGGATGCACTATAGGCGAACTGTGTTACGCACTGGACTGGAGTTAAGTCTCATGTTTTTTTTTGTAGCATTAGAAGAACATAGACGAGTCAAATAGATTTTCTTTGGTTTCATAATCATAAGGTCATTCGTATAAACAACTCATCTCGGTAAGAGATATCTAATACGTTCCCTCCCTCTTCTCATACTTCTCTCCCTCCACAACCGCCACATCTCCAAGTCCACTCCAAATCTCCGCATCAACCTGAACTTCCAATCCACCAATCTTGGTCGCTCCAGCATCCAATCCCCAAAGCGACACGCCCAGATAATTCGACCCCTTGTAGTTCAAAATGCCCTCAGGAACAGGGAACTTCGTCTGCGGTCCCACATTATTAACGTATTTGCCATACTGCCATCCATTAACGTAGAGTTGAACACGGTAAGCAGGGACGCTGCTTCCAGCAGACGAAGACGTAGCGTTGGTAAAGGTAAAGCTGAGAGGCACGTCGTAGCCGGATGGGACGTCGAGTTCGAACTCTGTAGCGAAGAAGCCGACACCGGGGGCACTGATACCGTCGGTGACGGGGCCAGCAGAGGGCTTCCAATCGAGATCTGAGGCGGAGAGAGCACCGGGGAGATGAAGACCTTGTCTCTCTACGAACAAGCCGCCTTCGTTGAGTGGGCCGCGTGAAATATCGCGGTAGTCTTCTCCGCCTAGGTTACCGGTGAGTTTCCAGGTCACATCCGAAGCATCGTGGCCTGAGAGCTTGTAGTCGAGGATACCACGTGGGTTCTTCATTGTTTCGGTGCCGATGGTCCAGTTTTCGTCGAGACCCTGGTTGTCGATTACAACGGTGATGGTGTATTTTGTTCCGGCGGTTAGCTTGGGGAGTGTAAAGGTCGAGTTGCCGTTCATGGCGGCGTCGTAACCGCGCCAGGATCCAAGGAATTGCGTGCCGATCCAGGCGGAGGACCCGAATGCTGAGCCACCTTGAGTCGAGAGTTGCAGGGTTGTCTCGTTGCCGGTGGCTGTGAAGGTGCCGCGGTAGAGGAGGGTGCCGGTGTGGTAGCCGTAGTCGGAGCTGTACAGCGAGACGGGGGTGGTTAGTCGACGGAGAGAGTTGTATGTCTTCTTGAGGTCTGCGACTGTCCATTTGCTGTCGTCGTATCCGGGCTGAATTTCAGGAAGAGAGTCGATGTACTTCCACTCAAGTTCGCTCAGCTTGGGAATGCTGATGTTAGGCTTGGGAAGGTCAATGGTCGCAGTGAAAGTACCCTTCTTGGAAGTTTCAAAAGAAACGTCCTTGCCGTTGAAAGTCAACTTGGAAAGGCCAGCAGGAACACCGCCAATGATTTCGATAGGGGTGGTGGCATTCACATCGCCGGTCAGGGCGAGAACGTCGCCAGTGACCTTGGCCGTACGCATCAGATAGCCTGCCTTGAGAATGACAGGGTTTGAAGCGTCATGCGGAGCTTGGTCAATCGACCAATACTTGAAAGCCTCGTTACGTTCTTTGAAATCCCGTCAGCAAAACCCCCATATATGTCGCTTCATCCAAGAAACTTACCAAGCATGTAGACGTAAATGGGGCTCTCAGTTCCCAACTTGACAACCTTTCTCGTAGCATCGGCCTTGAAGCTCAGCAGTGTGTGACCGCGAGTGGCTACGCTCTTGACATCGCCTTCAATAACCTCAAGCCCAGTAGTTTCGACAGAAAGCTCGTGAGTTTCTCCTGGACCACCATACACAACCAGAACAGTCTTGTCTTCGTACTTATGCCAGGTAAAGATCTCAGCAGTCGAATAAGCAATATTCGTACCACCAATATCGTAGTCGGCAACATGGACCTTTGCGTCACGTCCGTTCAGCGTGAGCGAAGTACCATTGAGCTGTGGCACAGTAATGTTTCCAAAGGCTTGCGTCGAGATCTTGAGCTGGTAGCTCGTAGTCGCCAGCGAATTATACTTGGCATGTCTCAAGAAGTAAAAGCTAGTCTTGTTGCCGTGCGCAGGGGTAACGCTGAGATCACTCGTGGTAGTCCATGCCGAGGTCGAAGCAGCACCGCGCGAAGCAGTCAGGTATTCAGGGCTGACTTTCCAAAAGTTTGCCTGGAGTTTGAGCTCAGAGTACTTTTCACGCTTGACTTGGCGGTCTTCTTCAATCGGTGCGGCGTAGTCGTACGATGTGTAGCCTCCTGGGTGACCCAAGTTTCCCCAGTTGGTACCGCCAAAGGTCATGTATAGGTTCAGGATGGTGACGCCGAAGCTGTAGAGCTGCTTGTAGAAAACGCGGTTGAACTCTGCTCCGACTAGAATTCCGCACTTGTCGAAACCTGGGCCGCCCCACTGCGAAATGTTAGATAATACTAGTAGTATCTTGATGCTTGCAGACTTACAGGGTCAAAACTGCCTGACTGGAACTCAATGATTGAGTAAGGAGTGGTCGGACTTTGCTGCTGGTGCAGCTGTTGCCAATTTGTCGGCAAGTTGTTGTCAGGCCATCTGGTAGGATTGGCACAATCGAAGCCAAGAGGGTATCCGTCGTGTCCATAGATATCGACTGCCGCAGGAGTACCAGGAGCGTTGTATCCCTTTGGAGATGCGTCGTTGCTGATAAGCGGCACAACGATGCTGGCATTGCGGATCTGATCCTCGACATAGGTCATGTAGACTGGATCGGGAAACGGCTTGATTGCGCTTGTTGCCTGAGTGTACTCGTTCTCTGGCTGAATCAGAATGATTGGTCCTCCATTCGTGATTTGTGCTTTGGCAATCGTGGCGCCAATGTTCTTCATATAACTAGGCATTATCAGTATCAAATATTGCAAATAGTTCATCATCCACATACTTGTCAGTCGCCGCCAAAAAGTCTGGTGCACGAGTTCTCAGCGTGCCATTGATACGCTGGATCCACCCGGGAAAGCCTCCACCAGAAGCTTCGGCATTGATGTAAGGACCTGGTCTAGCAAGAAGGTAAATTCCCGCTTCTTGTGCCGCGTCGAAAAAAGGCTGGAGACTGAACACGCCTTCCTCACGGTACACACCCGGTTTGCCTTCTAGCAGCGCCCAGTCGACATAGAAGGACACGCCATTGAACCCCAGCGCCTTGATCTTCTGGAAGATATCAAGGTACAAATCCGGAACTGGCAGTCTGAACGGATGGACTTCGCCCGAGTACAAGAAGATGCGTTCGCCATTGACAAACAGCGAGTCTTTATCCCAGGTAACCTATGCGTCAAAGTCAATATCTCCCAATTGCCACACACATTCGATTTCCCATTTTTTTGATCTTAGACTTACGATATCCTGCAACGGTCCCCTCTTATACGGCTTGATAAAGTCCGTCGGCGACGTATACCCGACAGCCCTCGCTGCACCCTCTACAGCAAGACATCCCAGCGCAATCGCGCCCCCAGCAAAGCCTTTCATTCTTTTCTACTCTGTACTGTTGCCCAGCAGAAAAGTCGAAATAAATGACAGAAAAGCTAGGTCTGCGCAAAACACAAGGACAGCAGGAAAGGAAAAGGGCGATGGTAACCCCAGTATTAATATATATAGTAGTACGCAAACTCAATTACACCATCCATACTAGTACTACTTATTCGGATCTATGAACTATTCCGCACCAACGGACCGACGCGGCATCGTACATGGATTGTCGGCGCGCGTTTTTTTTTCGCGTGATTGTTCCTGTAACTGCATAAGTACAACATGTCAGGGCGTGGAAGAAGCGGCACAATGACACCATGGTACATGAGGTTCCATCGCCTACAATACATACCCCAGTCGCCTCTTTCCCCGCTCTCTCTCTCTCTCTCTCTCTCTCTCGCCTTGTCGTACGAAGAAAACGGGACCGGGAAACCGGTCAAATTTGCTGAGCGCCAAAGATGTCGATTCTTATTCTTACATCTATTTTTTTCTCCAATGCCAATATAGTAAATGCACAAGTGATTGCGCTCGGGGGGGATTGCAAGTGTCATCATTCAACTTAACCATCCATCAACGTACTACTTCAAAACATAAACAAAATCTTCCCTCTCTCTCCACCTTTCCCCCGTCACCGGCCGGAACTCGAAAATCGCGAATCCCTTCCCATGTTTACCCTTCCCCTTCCCTCCCCGCCTCCTCCTCCTCCGCCGCCGCTCAATTTCCCACCAATATCCTCAAGCACACACCCCCCAGGAACCGGGCGGGAAAGTTACACACCCGATGCAACCTACGCATGCACGCACGCCCCCCCCCCCCCCATTTCACACGGCTTAACTTCCCCTCCCCGCTTTTTAGCGCAAGCTTGAATAAAAAGGCTTGAGGTAAACCGGGGTGGTTGGGGTTAGGGATGGGCGGTAAAGGTAAGGTACAACACCGTTTACTACCCGTTTTAGGTAGGGTATCCGACTTTTTAGTGTCGGAACGGAGGGGATAGACCGTACACAGTAGGGTTGCGTGATATGACGTCGGTATTATGGGTATGGGTTACGAATGGGTACGGGTTACGAGGTAGGATTTTTGCGAGTAAAAGTACCGAGGTAACATTGTTTTGATATTCTATAATTTGTGTGTTTTTGTCTACTTGGCGAATTTGGAGGAGTGCGGGGTATATAAAAAGACAAAGTAGTCGTTGAAGAGAAAAAAAAAACGGCGCAATGTCAAAAAAAGCATATAAAACTATTTGCACTTCCATATGCTCTACTTCCCTCCCCCCCCCTTCCCCGTTGTTGGCCAGAAATGCGATTCACGAATTGCCCCCCGTCAGCCAAAACAAGATGGGAGAAAAAAAAAACACATGCAACCGACGAATGCTCAAGCTAGGCTCTGAACGCCCCATCTACCTCGGAGATGCTTTAAATGCGATAAACGATTGTCAAGAAAGAAAACAGAAAAAAAAATTCAAGCTTGCAATCGCATCACAGGTGTGTGTATGTTGTTCCTCCTAATCAAAAAACACCAGATGTATGTCCCATGGTCTCGACAAAAAAAAGGGTTCCACAACGACGGAATTATGTCGCTTGGAGAAGAAGAAATTTATATACAATGGAAAAAGAGATGTCGCCCAACTATACGCCGAAGCTTTTGCTGGGCGACCGATAGTTGATCATTCAACGCCAGTATCTATCCCCGGATGCGTCCGTCTCGTCTCTTTGTACAGCTCATGACTGCTGGTATTGGTAAGTGGGTACAGAGCCACTTGGCGGGTAAAAAGCTGTGTTGGTGTTGTTGCTATCATAAGTGGAGGGCTCGACGCCCATTGTCCAGTTCGACGTCGTGTCATAAAGTGCTGCATCGCCCAACATGAGTGTGCCAAAAGCAGTAGAGTTGTTAAATGTTTGCGCGCCCCCAGCTTCTATCGCTGCTCTAGCTGCATTCATATTAGCTGACCCTGGCAAGGGCCAACCAGCGTATGTAGCCTCTATGGGAATAGGCGGTGCGTGTGTGAAATGATTCGGGCCAGGCTCAAACCCACCCCTCGCCGTCGACATGTTGGTTTGGGGAACAGAGTTACTTACGTACGGGTATGTGGCCGTTGGTTGCGAGGGGTGTCCTCGGTATTGTGGCGTAGAGTCTGGGTGGTAAACATAAGTGTTCGTCTGGGGACCATAGGTGGGAGCCTGCGTCGTTGGAGGCGTTCGGATTTCATGCTGATTCACAGGCGTAAAGGCGTTTGTGACTGTATCCTGTTGATTTGGCGTGTTGTCAAATGTGCCTTCCTTCTCAGGTTTGACAGCAGCAGACGTGCGCGGCGACGTCTGCTCGGCAGAATCGTCATCGTGCGATAACCTGGTGTCGGCCAAGTCAATGTCCCTGGTAGACCAGTTACTGTAGTCATCGACCGTCTTGCCAAATTGCTTGTGCATCCTCTCAAACAATTGCGCGTAGTCTTTCAGTCCGCCCCCACCAACGCCATCGCTATTGTTACTTTTGGGCGAGTCGCTAACTGAACCACCACAGTCCCTATACTTTTTCTTTTCGCGCCGGTAGTACCGTTGCCACTCAGCCAGTTCGCAGAGCCATGAGCGAGCCATCTTGAAGCGTTTAAGGATACGGAACAGGAAGCCGTTTGCAATGTCGTGAGCTCTGGGCTCGAGGCGTGATGAAAGCATGCTATCAGGGTCCATGTTGGGAAAGTAGTGACAGTAAATGGCTACCACTGTTAGTAGAACTCTAGTAAAAGTGAAGCATAAACTTACTGCATATACCAACAGCGAAGCAAGCAAATGCCACCGTAGGTGTCTGCACCGAGTCACTGTGAACTCTGGTAGTCCCGATGGTATGTAGCAATTGGGTAAAGTCGCTGCAGGCCCGTGCGCAGTCCTTGGCTTGGTTGATCCAATACTCGGGGTCAGGAGGAGGCTCGTCAATGAGTGGTTCGTCTAGAGGACCGCGAGGGTGTGTCAAAGTCCATGGTGACGTGGGCATGTATTCTCTGTAGAGCCAAACAAAGCATAGCGTGTACATGGCATGTATCGAAACATACTTTCCAGGGTTGTTGTAGATCCGGTCCTCGGTATTCTCTGCAGTTAGTTGGAGATGGTCAGGCAAGTCACGCTTCAATTGTTTGAGCTTGTCTTCGAGTTTCTTGAACGTCGTGGTGGAATGCCATGGTGCGTTTTTGCCCTCTTGCCTGTCATTTGTTAGCGCCGCTAATGCTTAGTCGGAAGATACGATGACATACCGCCGTCCACTATTACACGACCACCGAACCACTTCGCCAAAAACAATGACGACTTTTATGTACCATGTGAGTTCGGCCTCGTGTTCACCAATCTCCCACTTTCCCCCATCTAGCTGAGGAGCTCGATCCCCATTCTGCTCATTGCGATGCTGTCGAGCCAGTGCGTCCCACTCTGCTCTCCGCTTGGCGTACGCAGCATCGTCCTCGCCTAGCAGTCTTGTCCGCGCTTTGCGTCCATAGTTGAATGCGCCGTCACTGCAAACAAGCTGGGTCCTTTGAAAGTGCTCAGGTCCCAGCATTGGCGGTCGGTCTTCTCCCCAGCTGAGATACGAGTCCATGAGGCAACAGCTCCAAAAAGTGCGGCGTTGAGTCTCGCGGAGAATGAATTGATCCTTTTCGGATAAGCGGCTCTCGCCTTCTCTTAACGCAGCCGGCTGACCCTTTTGGTCGACATCGAGATGCGGATACCCCAGGACAATTGCACACCTAATGGCAGTTCCAATTTTGATCCAGCCCTCTCGGCCTTGCAGTGCCGTCCATTCATAGTAGCCCAGCATGAGAAGTGTCTGGATCTTCTCTAGGGTTGGGGTGCCAAAGATTTCAGCACCCATTTGGGTGCGCGTAGCCTGGGCATAGAATTCGGCAGTCTTGATGGGGTCATTTTCGGTCTGCTGGACAAGCTTGTCATGGAAACGGGCTGTGTGGGTGAGAAAGGCCAGGAGTAAAGGTGGGTATGGCTGATGGAGCTGAGATTGTGTTTGTGTCTTGGCATCAGTCGAGTTGGCCAAAGGCTGCAGCTGCTGCACGGCACTCAAAAAGGTTCTCTTGTGCAAAAAGGGAAAGTCAATGGAGAAGTGCTTTTCGTAAATGTCAAACTGGGCGGGGTGAGTAAGAATACAGGTGGGGGATGGCGGCGCGCATTTACCAGCTCTTCCCAGACCTGGGCAGTAAGGATAGGCGACTGAAGGGCATCTTCAAAGGTGCCAAGACCTTCTATTGGACGCTGTGCGCCAGCCGCCGTGGTGGCTAGAAGCTTGCGACGCTTCTTTGGTGGAGCCTTGTGGAAGGTCAGTACTAGAAGCGTGTTGCACATGGACGGGCAGGTGGTAACGAGGCCAGTAGGTCATCGAGGTCTACACTGCCGTGACTTACTTACATCAAAGTCTGCGGTGCTGTCGCGTCGCGGTGGCGCCGAAGTGGTTGCGACAGCAGCGTGGTCCCAGATGCAGTCGCGCTTGGTGTTTGCGCAGGCTTTGCAGGTGGTACCTTGACCAGCATTTTCACACTTGGTCTTACTTCGGCGACATCTGGCACATGCAATTTGTGAGCGCATGCCTCTTTTCGCGGAGGGTTCAGCACTACCGCTGGTGGCATCAAGGGGGCCTGGAGTTTGCTGTGGAGATGCCTTGACTGTGGATGGGGAGCGCTGGGTCAATGGTGAGTGCTGCTGCTGCTGCTGCGGTTGTTGTTGTTGTTGTTGTTGTTGTTGTTGTTGTTGTTGTTGTTGTTGTTGTTGATGGTGGTGAGGCTGTTGGCGTTGGTGGTGCTGGTGCTGGGCGGGCGGCGATTGTGGCGGACGAAGTGGTTGATGTTGAGCGTAAACAGGCAGTGCAGTTAGCCGCGGTGCATTCTCACCAGTCATGAGAGGAGGCAATGGGCGAACAGCAGGGTAAACTGGGGGTGGTTGGACAGAGCAGAGCGCGCCTTGGTAATGCGTCGTCGGAACAAGCTTTTTTGGTGATGGTGGATGTAACAGTCG